AAGAGTCTCAGACATTCGCCTCGCATAGCGCTGATCGAGTCGACCAATTGACCTCGTTTGCCAAGATTCAAGTCTACATATTTATCTTTCGCGGCCTCNTTCTTCAAGCATATCAAAAAGTTGATCGTATCCTGTAGCTTCATTCAACTTCACATTATCAGAACATGCATCTCCATTATCTCCAAAAGGGAACGAGAACATTCGATACAAATCATAAGTTGGGGAATCTGGGATCCAGTTTTCTGGAGTTGGGCTGTGGCCGATAAGAGGTGGTGGTGGAGTGTTCAATTCTTCGTTGCGGTTTTGATCGCTTGCTGCCATTAAATTGATATCTTTAAAGAAGTTTAGACGAGACGGAGAGAGATAAAATTTTTGGACTGAAGAGCAACCTATTTTAAGGAAACTTCCCACTGTCGCCTTCAAACTTACTGTAGCAAATGTCCATATTTAGTTTGGCAAAATTACAAATATCTGCCAATAAAAAAAGTCCGGCGTTAAAAATGCACCATCACCATTTTAAGCAAATTCAATTTATTGAGATATTTACCACTCCACGTACTCCACCATAACACGTCATTTCAGTCATAACAGAAATATTGTGGGGGCAAATTTCGTCATCCACGCTCATCTATTTGATTCAATAGTTCGTCCGCTCCTATCTCAAACGTGTCCATTTCACACAATTTAGATAAAACACTTTTATTGCACTAATATACGCCACATAATAAAGTTTGGAACCTCCCTTGCGACTCCTTTTAATTTTCGCACGACACTTGTCAGAGCAACTCGAGTAAACTCAACATTAATAACAAGAAAATAAAAACTGGAAAATGCATTGTAATTCAAATACTTAAGGGGAAAAAGTCACACAGAGACAGGGTGTTATTTCAAACTCAGAATTAACAAGACATATTGTCTGTATAATATTTCGGCATAATGCACCGACATGTCCATTTGTCGGACTAAGCATGGTCTGGATAACCCCCAAATGCAAGAATTTTTTTGCTATTCGGGCAATGTTTCATTCATTTCCCTGAGTGTAGAGATGAATATCTGACATTGGGCACACAAAATTCAACTCACCAAATTTGGGTGCGTGAAGTGAGGATTTTTAATCAGAGAAAATGTTCCCATGCGTTCCAACCACAACCAGTCATACAGAAAATTCCACCCTGATCCTACATAGATTTTCCTGCGTGAATTCTCTGACCCACTCCCATTGGTGGTCAGATCCTTCTTTGCTTTAACCCAGCATTGAGAGGTGCATCGTGGAATTACACAGAGGTATACGTTTCTGGACACAATTCATTAAATTGGTGCCACAAAAAAGAAGTCAACTTCGGCAGAAGTGTTGCAACTGAGTACATTGTATATTTTAACGCATATAATCTTGTAGTAGCAGACTACATTAATTTTGTTGGTTTTACAAGAAAAAAGAAATTCGAGAGGATTAAATTTTATAAACAAGGTGGACACAAGCTCGTAATTGGATACGTGATGAACATCCATGTTTATCCGGCACATAGAACTTCTGCGCGGTGGTAGCATCAATGTCTAATAAGTGGAACTATCCTACGTAAAGAAGCTAGCTGAATACTTCGAGAGAATTATTTTCCTGGAAATAGGAAAAGGTAAATAGTTGCATTTGAAGTCGGAGGAGGACGTCACTCACGTCAGTAACTCAAGTCCTCAGAAAGCGGACAAAAGAAGAAGACATCAATAAATCTGAACGATATTTAGTTGATCACCTTTAGAAATGAAAAATGGGTAAATTTTTTATTTTCATCACGATTTCGAGAGAAAATTTAATGAAAGCTCTAAAGGGTTTAGCTCGTAAAATAGTCACAATCATATTTCAATTACCGTATATAGAGCTGTCGAGCTGAATTATACGAATCTAAAGTTTCATGCGAAATGTTGTAATACTAAAATTTCGAATACTAAATTTTTTGAAAGGTTGAAAAATGCACGCGCTGATACGAATAGAATTACCATATATAAAAATGTTTTGTATATTATGTACTTTGCAAGGGCTCTGTGTGAAATATACGGTAGAAAAAGATATTACATATTCATGATAAACAAATGAATTGTTATATTGGATAATGTTCGTTGTTTGTTTGGTTTTTCAAAATGAAACTCAGCTATAACTGCAAAAATAAAGCAATTTTTGGATACTTGTGGATATTCTAATCCGCCTAAAGAAACTACCAAGATTTCCGTTCCAGCCTCGGCTTCATTTATCGGGAGCATCGCCGTGCAGAAAAGTCTCAATTTATGAACAGTAAATAACTAAATAGTTTTGAATACGACATATTTCGGGAAAGCTAGTAACGGAGAAATAAGCGTTTGAAATTTCCCGATATTTTCGCGTATATTTTCCCGATAAGCCTGGCTTGCATAATAACGTCAGGATTGTTGTTGGTACGAGATAGGGCATGACACGAAATAAGTGAACAGCGGCGGTAGGGATCTTGGGGCCATACTTTCATAACTCACAAGTAAACGTAAGTACTTACGCTCTATTTTCTTGTCTATGATTGGTGGATTTTGCTTGAAAGGCCGTCAATGATTGGCTGATGGACTTACGCTCTCTTAACTTTTTCTGAAAGTATGAGCCCAGGTCTCAACAAGTAGCGTCTGCCGATGTACTGACCAGCCAGCTAGCCACTGAGAACCGCAGCTGCTGACAAGTTTACTAGCCACAAGAGGAGGAACGCTATTGCAAGCGGCGCTATGTCCTACCAAACTCACAGGAGGAAGAGATTGATGTGGGTACTAGCCGCATCGAGATGCAGAGAAGTAGAGTGCAGTAAAACAACATAAACTACTAGGTTTTTATTTAGCTAGAGCATTTTTGGCTTTATTCCTTGTTCAGCCGAACGCACTTCCCGTCAGTTAGAGCTAAAAAGATAAGTGCTCAAACAATTCAGCGCCTTGCATGCCACTAGTCACAGTTTGCCTTTCTTTACAGCTTTTACAGCTCAACTGAGAGCAGGAGTTTGAGACACATGATTAAAAAAAGTTTCAACACGAAAGCAACGTAGACCTCAGCTAGTGCTACAATATATTGCAAAAATGAGGACAAGAGATTGCAGTTTTGTCCCTGAAAGTATGGCAAGATCACAATTTGAGCATTTGCATCAAGTAGACGTATTGGTTCAAACACCACAGCATTAATTAGATTTTTTCGTCGAAAATATAATAATCACAATAAGGGTCATGTCATTTACAAAAAATGAAACCAAAAATGACAGCGAGTTAATGGTTAAAATTGTCCATGTGAAGAAGAGAAATATTTTGTTCGACTATTTTGTTGAAGAGCACTGGAAAGGCAGTGAAACTTTTTCAACAACCGTCACTACTTTCAACAACCATCACTACTGTTGGGCTACTAAATTCTATGACGCCACTATTTTTACATCACAGTATAAATCAAAGTGCTTGCTGTCTGCTTCCAGTCCTTTCATTTCCTGTACTGGAACAAAAACTTTTTATGAAACCTATCGCCCAAACTATTCGGAGCGAGCATTTACAGTTTCAAAGCCACAAAATTTCTGCAACTGGTGGACTAAAACAATGAAAGTCAGCTTTCCATGGAAATGAAAGTCGTTTTGAAACTTTCATTACGTTTGAAATAAAACGGTGAATATTCGGAGACGCACTTAATCATAATTCGTCATTATTAATATTTGACGCCGATATTATACATATCTGAAATATCGGTCTGAACTCAGTCATTTATTGAACGGAGGCGAGACACCGAGGTCGTGTTACACATAATTGTGAGAACTCACTTGGTCGGGTAATCACCGATAAGTTTTCACGTAGAGCCTAGCAATTACAAATACGAAATTCGAATTTATGATCAATGGGGTCATGCACTTTCTAAACATTACATATTTAAATATCGGCTTGATTAGTATGGCTACTTGCGACAGATAAATCCAAAACACAATTGTGAGGTTGTTGAATGATCTGCTTCCAGCACTAAAACAACGACAAATCGATGGAATTTCAAGTATAAGTCTTGTCTCATCAGTTTGAACGCTTCGACGTTTTCCTTCGACGACTTAGTTTGAAATATGGATGGATATTTCTAGTTTACTAAAGCACCAATGATATTTGTATATGAATGATGAATCACTATCCTATTAATAAAGCTTCATTACAGTAGATAGTAAGTTAGATCACTGATTAATTGTTAACTAGTTATCTGGCGAGCTACAGGAGAACGATTGAAACTGAGGCTGCATTTCAGGGATTTTTCAAGTACTATCAATCTATCGTCATCAGTTAAGAATGGCCTGAAAAGTCTTCGGCATTTCCTCCATACACTATTTAACGTGTCAACCAATTGGCCGCGATTGCCAAGAGTCAAAGTCGAATAGTGATTATGTTCGATGGAACTGCCGTGTGGCGCGAGCCTATCGACAACATAAACTTTATCGGTTTCTTTCCAGGTCTTGCTTAATAACGATGGATGTAATGGATTGGGAGATAAATACAGTTCATAATTGCAAGCCGTTTTTAGTGGGAATTGCTTTCGTTTGCACTTGAAGTACAGTTCATGCTCGTCACGATCGAGATAATCAGTCACAGGCCAGTGCGTTTGTATGTCCTCATTTTCAAAATGGATTGAGAATTTCTGGCGATTGGCATGCACGACAACGCGATCCTGCAAATGAAAGTTTGGTCGATAGATGACATGGACTTCGCCATGAATATACACAACGATCGACAGGAAATTAACATCGTCATTCAACTGAACAGGGCTCGAACAACTTCCAACATGAATTTCATAACTATCAAGATTATTAATCAAAATTTTTACTTTTGGAACGCAACCATTGTCTTCTATGCAGAATGGATAACATCTATTTGAATTAAAAAATAAAATAAGAATATCGTGTTCCCCGCTGATAGGCCGATGATAAATGGTGAACGGTACTTGATCGAGGTCTCCCGATATTTTCGTCAACGGAGTCAGAGTCCGACGCCTGCAGGCCTCGCAAGCAGCATGCCGACTGGCAGGGACAGCATTGCGCTTCGTTTCAACAGAAGAAAGAAGCAAATTATCCAACTGTTTCCTCGGCCCTTCGAAAAAATACTGTTTTGGAAAAGAATTTTGGTGCCGCTTTGAGTATAGAGAGTCAACTTCTGTAATGAAAATTTTAGGAATACTTTCGAACTCGGCTGCGACATCGAAGGTCAAATCAATGAAGCCCAGCGAAATTTCATGCATTACCCTCTGCACAAAATATATAGGTATTTCAAAAGATATTTCGAAGCAATTACTCCCACGAGCCTCACTATTAGCCGCACCTAGCCTCTCTGTCGCAAAAATAACTGAGTCATTATTTCCTGAGGCGTTTGACGAGCTTGAAGGGAAAACGTTGTCACCGAGTGAGTAGTACGTTGAATTGGACGCCCGTAAGCCATGTGCAGAAAGTATTGGCTCGCCCATCATCAGGGAAGCCACCGGTACTCCCATTGCAGAAGATCCGATGTGTTCCTGCTGCACGGGAGATCTTGAGCTCCTGAACCCTGAAGTTATTGCTCTCTGGCGATCTCTACTTTCATATTCCAAAGAATAGAGCTGATTGGCGTCTTCAGTTGCCATTTGTGGATAACACATCGATTTCCTCAATGGAGATCTAAATGCAGATCTAACTTCAGTTTTAGTCTGCACGAAATCCATACAGTTTGGTTTAATTGAAGTCAACCCTGTATTCTGGGGTATGGAACCATCCAGATATGGTTCTTGGTATGCTGTTGGTTCTTGATAGTGCGGCATTCTCTGCTCTTGAAACCAGTGTGGACAGACACATGTACCACCAGGCGGCGATGACGTAGTGTCCAACTCATTGTCAAGGTTTTGATTGTTTGTCTCCATTATATTTCGATGTCAAATAAATATAGACTTAGAAACTACGTAATTAACTGTCTTGTGGCAAGCAGACCTTAATTTCTGTAATCAGTTTTCTTCTCACTGCCACCTCAAATCCAAATACCAATGGTACGAACCTTATGAAAAAATTGCTTGGACCTGGGGGAAAACAAAGTTAGTAAATCAGAGAACAAATTTCTATTTCAAATACCTTACCTCGGATACAGATTAATTCACATGTCACTATTAAGGTAAGGTCACAAGTCAATTGACGTGTCACATCGCATATGTTATTGAAGGTGCAACGTGGGGCAAACTCGATTAATCGGAAAATAGAAAAAACTGAATGTTTTCGACTCAAATATGTACGTCGACAGTTGTCCATATTGCTATAAGACATCTTCCTTGCAAACAATTAGCATTGAAAATAAACAACAAATGACTATATGCTTCTTCACCAGCAATGGGGTTTAGGTTTTGCCGAGGTAGCAATAGCACTAACGAGTGACTATCCTAAAAAAACTAAATTTAGTTATGCAAAAAATTCTAAATTGTGCAATTATCACCTTATTGCACAGGATTGGCGAGACTCCTCCATTTATTGCATTCATTATTGATCAATTCTGTCAAATCAGAAATACAAATAACTATGAATATTTCAAAACCAAGACAAAATTTGGCATATCAACTCGTAAACTGAAAATTTATAATATCAGACGATAGAAAGATTTGAAATTCTCAGCAAGTGCGGACAGTTCGCATGATGGTTTGTCACAAATTTCGGAGCCAGCATCGACGATGTTTTTCATATATCTACTACAACTTAACGACTAATGTAAATATCGATATAATAAATATAAATGAGATTAGACCAACTAAAATTCAGATTTTAGATATTAAAACAATAATTGCCAAATGAAAACGAGTAAGAAGGAGGTAAACATGAGCAGACAAACCTATCTATAATATACAATTTCGAGGGGATATGAACTGTAAGCGGCAATTACTAAGCTTTTGTAATAATGTCACTCGTTTGCTTGAATCGCAAATTCACTAAAAACTTAAAAGCAAAGAAAACTCCACAAAAATTCATAGTATCTTTAAAGAAAACGTTTCGGAGTCCAGCTCCATCGTCAGTTCGAAAATTCTAGAATACAGATAAATCAGAATTAGTACAAGTCAAAATTACATCAAAAAACCTAAGCAGCAAAACCTACCTATTTACAGTTTCAAGCGGGTAAGAGCTAAAAGCTAAATTCAAGCTAGGCCTCTGTTTAAAAATATATAAAGATTCTAAAATGCGCAAATCAGAAACACCGGAACTGAAGCTAACACTTTGAAGTCACTGTCAGAAACTGGAACATCGCACTGCTCGGCGTGAGCCCGCACAGCCGAATTAGGTGGGCGCGAGTAAGTTACCAGTTCTACAACTCCTGCCTCTATGTTCTGCGACCCTAAAATAAAGGGATTCTTTGTATACAGGGATTCTAAAATTCGCCGGTCAGAAAAACAGGTTATGGAGGCTAAAAATATAAAGTAATCGGAGGTTGCAATGCTCGGCATGAACGCGTACTACTGAATGAGGGGGATGCGCAAGCAGGTTTCCTCTTCTAAAACTCCGTTCATTAAGCTCCGCCAGCCTAGTAATAAAAATGTGATGTCATACCGACTTACGCAGATGCGCACTGCGCACAAATTTATTGATAAACTAAGGATGATCGCATAAGAACAAGAAGTGAATCTTAATACACAACTACTTGAAAAAATAACTGATTTTAAAATTATTCACCAGTAATCTATGAAGATGTACATTTGGGAGGTATTTAGAGAACTAAACTTTCAACTCCTTAGTCATAGCCTCCGAAGAGGGACTAAAGTAAGGATATGAACAATTAACAGCGTTCCTATTTTTTGGTTCGTGAACAACCTCAGAATATTGCTTAGACCTTCATTTGAGTATATACCCACTGCGACGAAAACCCAGGAAGTGAAAAGGTACTGTGAAAAATTCAAATTCGGAGAGCATAGCATGGAAAGTGGAGCAAATACGAAAGCCGCGGTTTATTGACGTTTGATTTCCATTTAATTTGAAACGAAAAGAACAAAAGATAAAAAAAAGCCTGTAAAAAAAAGATGAAGCCGGTAAACGTCGATTTTCGGTTAACAGATGTCTGCAGGAAAACGGCCGTTTGATTTCGTAACATTACAATCAAAAAAAGATGAACTATTCTTGGGTTCAAGCTCCATGGTAAATTTGATTGACTTGTTTTGGAGATAAAGATACCTAATCAAAGAAAAGGCCTACATGAGAGGGATGCTTGAAAATCGAAAGAATGTCATCGATATATCGGTTTTAGAAATGGTTTAAAATCAGTAGGACAATTGGCCAGCAATGTAGCCTAATATGTTCAATGTGAATTTTAGTTTGCTAATTGCTTGTACTTGTACTTGGTTTTTAAGTTTTTGAACTGACGATGGAACTGGACTCCGAAACGTTTTCTCTGATCGAAAGTGGTGAATTTTCTGGCTGTTTTCTTTGCTCTTAAACTCGTGACAAACTTGAAATTTAAGCAATCAAGTGATCATAATGAGATTGGACGAAGCAGGTACATGCACAGGGGCAGGTTGTAAATAAAGATGGAACTTAGACGAAAAGATCCATCAATTAGATCGGTATTGTTTGGTCATTGCAATGCAAAGTGGCTACCGGTATAGTAACTATCTAATATTCTTTGGCTCAGACCCACACAACACGTACAAAATTTCTTTCATGTCAATATTTTATGCATACTGGTTTATATTTCCAACTTTTGATTTATACGCTGAAGTCTAGGCAGATACTGAATTCAAAAGAATATACATTTCAACAGGTATCGGCAATGACAAAGCTAACCAAAACAAATGTTATTGAAAATTCATTAGAACTTGAATTTTTTATCTATAAAAATACCATCCATTCTGATATCTTCATTGTATAACTAAAAAATAGCCCTACCGACAGAATCCTACATGGCTAGACAAGGTTCAGTTTACGTTGGGTTAGGTTAGGTTTCCGCATTTCGGGCGCACGTTGCTTGCCTTGACTAAACTTAGCTTCTGAGTGAATTGATGCATTAGTTAATAATAATATTCTTAGTTAGTGCCACCCACATATGCGTTATTTCAGAATAGCGTAAATAGTCTTCCACATATTTATCTTACTTCATCTCTTTTTTCCACACTCTCAAAACTTCTATTAAACAAAACGCGGGACTAAGCACTTTGGACAGATTTAGGTTCGAACTTAGAGCGATAGTAAGGTAGCACCTCTCACAATGAACGTTCAAACAAGACTCGCTGGTGATTGACTCTCACAACAAACGTCACTGAATCACTGACTGGGACTATACACAAGTCAATAGCAGTCCGCGAAGAAGAAACAGTATCCCTTGAAATTTATTTCAATTTGAGATCGAAGATGGCACGCCATAAACTCCAACAGAAATCTTGTTTAATTTTACAGCTAAGATAAAGGTACATAAGTAGATATTCCTGTTCCATGACAATTTTGTATATATTATCTTAAAGTATTGCATACATTTAGCGTAAAGTATTGCATATATTTAGCTTAAAGTATTACATATATTTATCTTAAAATATAGCATATGTCGTGCTGAAATCGAGGAATTGCCGATTCTATGGAATTGGGAGCCAGTTTTTCAAATTTGTAGAATCTTTAATTCGTTGCTGATTCAGAAATCGGACGTTAGAGTTGGAGTTAGAACATAAATCGACAGTTAGAATTATAAAAGGTTAAGTCAAGTTCGGTAAAGTTCCTTTATATTTAAATATTTAAAAAAAACTTCTGGGGCAGACTGACCTAGCCCCAGATTTCTAGTATAAAAATGTTGATTCTACAGAATCGGCCAACTAGCTGCCGATTCCATAGAATCGGCAATTCTGCGATTTTGGCACGACATATATATTTATCAAGAAATACCTTTTTGCTGCCATATTTTACCCAGAGTATCCTCGAGAAACGCTGAACAAACTAAAAGTGCACATTTCCGCCTGTAAAACTTAATTAAGGGGAGCTGTTTAGTTTTCTATTTCGTTGATAATTAATAAATATGAATGTGCATTACATAATTTAATGATAATACTTGAAAATACTCAAATTCTTCGGCAACTAAGAGCTAAGGAAATATTCCAGGACAACATTTAATTGTCCAAGAAGGTGCGAATTCACAATTTTATAACTTGCTCATGGTTGCGTTGAAAATAAAAAATTCATGGCACAGAACATTTTTTTCGAGAATTCATATTTTATAACTGTATAAATCATACAACGTAAATGTAATAATTTCATTTAGTTCGCTACTACGGCAAAATTGATAACCAAATGTAAAAGTGAATTGAGCTTGACCAGGAACATTTTTTAATCTTCCTCTTTGTTAAATGATGCTCAAATTGTTGCAAGGCGTTTACTCATCGACCATTAATTCAATTGAGCTTTTGAATTTTCTGTGAAGAATGCCACTAAATGAGAACGGTTACAGTATCAATTGAAATTTGAGTATTAGATTTTACAACTGGCAGAAATAAGTTGATCAGAATTAAGAAATAGAATACTGAATTATTATGATACTGCGATTGCCTCATATCCACTCGCTTTGAAAGTGTAAGTTTAAAAAAGCAAAATATCTAGCATTGGAGCGAAATGATTAAAAAGTCACCGATTTATCACCTGTTTTCATTCATTTCCACCAATATCGTTAACACATTTTCATCCATTCCTATATTCAAAATAGTCGTTAGCGAGCATTTTCCATTATAATTTCATCATAACGGGATATAAGATTACAATCAGTAGAGTAACACATTCGTAATGAAATAAAAATAAAAACAAAAAATAAATAATTTCGATGTCTATTTTTGGAAATTGCCAATTATTTTCAAGAATAGCCCATGCATAGTAAGATGATACACGAATCCTAATTATTCAGGAACACATCCTTCCAGAACAA